CCATGAGATAAAGCACCATCTATGAACCAAAGAGCAGGCCCTCCCCAGCCACTGATTCTGCTTTGATCTTGGATTTCCTAGCCTCCAGACTAAGAAATGTTTCTGTTGTTTGTAAGCTCTCCACTCTATAGTATTTTGTTACAGCAGCTTGAGCAGTTTAAAGACAAGCTGATAGCTGAAAAGAGGATAAAAAAACGTGAAGACCTGAAGAAAGGTTGGAGTGGAAATAGCTACAACCAAGGTCTGAGGAATAAGTGAGCTCCGTATCCTAAAAGTGAACATCACAGTGCTAATGGAATTAATATGAGAAAATGGAAACAAAGTCTTTGTAAATAGGGAGGGGTGGAGGGGTTGAAGGGAGGGCAGGGGAATGGGGAAAAAATAAGAACCAAGTTAGGTTATATAAAGGTACAAATTTCCAATGATGAACGTATACCTAAAATGTACCAATAAACAATGAAAAAAAATCACAGTGCTGATGTGTGGGGAGAATGGGTCAGGTCGGTGCAGCTTGGTAATAATACTTGAACACTGGGGTCATGTCGTGTCCTGTGTTGGCAAAGAATAAAACAGGATGGAGTAGACCAACTATAAGCACATTTATTTGAAAGCTATAAAAGCAAGGAGGTGAAGGTCCTGCTAGCTGTGGGGGGTCCTGCACAGGTTACCCACAAAGGCTTTTTCATCTAGGCCTTTAACGGGTTTAGAAGGGAGGTTGGGCCCTTGTGTAAACCCTATAGGAAACTGCATACTTTTCAGAGTACAGTGTATGCTGTGTTCATTCAGGGTCCATGTACCCTCAAGACAGCAGCCTGCCTGATCACTTTCTGTTCACACTGCAGGGAGGACCCTGAGGGCCACAGACCTCACTGGTGTTTTTGTAAGATGGATGGAAGGTGATGACTCAGCAGACTCCATTTGGGGCTTCCTAGCTCCGTTTTGGGGTCACTATCCTTACTGCTTAGTATATTTCTAACTCCTGTCTCAGTAGGGCCTTCGATTAGACCATGGTAAAGAGTTTGGGTTTGATTCTAAATGGGTTCTGAACAGAAATGAATATGAGATTTATATTTCCAAGTATTTACTTGACTGCTGTGTACAGAATAGCCTGTATGGGGAAAGAGCTAGATCAGGCCAGAAGCCATGGCATAGGCCCAAGTCTAGCGTGGTGGCTGTGGCAGCAGTGAGAATTTAGAAGATGGACAAGAGAAGAAAGGATGATTTCTCTTTCTTACCAGCGGACCCAAAAGATAGTAGTGAATCATTTCTACATGAGAGGTAAGGGTCTGTGAATGACTTTGGAGCAAGAAGGATAAAATTAGATTTACCCCAGGGATTCAGGCACCTGCCTCACAAGCACAAAGGCCAGACTTTCATCCCTGGTACCAAAAAAAAAAAAAGATAAAAATACGATTCCTTCCTCTGATGCATTACTGGTAAAGAGGTTTGCACATGAGACGCTGAGGGGCCTCTTTGCTTGAGGAATAGAGTGGGTGGCAGGTTGGGGGGCACCTAGTGTAAGAGTGATCGAGGCAGTCTTATGGTTTACTGCAGTCAGACAGTCCAGATGAGGGTGAGGGTACTGATGTGGAGTGGCTGTGGTCTGTTCCCACAGGATTATCCAGAAGATCTCAGGGAGACAACGTCCCCAGTTTCAGCCATGGGCAGGTGGCATGCTCTGCCATGCAAAAGACCAGACAGGTCCTTGACATCCAGCGGGCATTCAGTGGATAATGTTTTCCCTAGCGACTGCCCAGCTTTCACTCTGGGAAATAAAAAAATAACTTTTGTTAATCCCGCTTTGCTGGGATGAGGAGGGGATGTGGCCCCATTGTAGGTGGGTGATAGGTTACAAATATAATGATATTAAGGGAGGTACCAAGTGATACAGTCTGTTGTGGAGGGTAGGCATTTAAAACTCTCCTTGTGGCTGTCTTTAGAGAGGCCAGCAGAGGCCTTCCAAGTGAAAGTCCTTCATTTTGCTCTGAAACTGGGTGACAGCACACAGGCTTCACCTGAAAACCAAATAACCAGTGAGCCTTCATATTTTGCCTAGGAACACAATGGCATTTTGGGTAGTATAATTCCTCTTTTGCTGGACTTGTGTGAGCATAGCAGGACCCAGAACAGATCCTTCACCCAGTCTCACAAAATGGCCAGAAGTGTCCCGCGGTTGCAAACACCCCCCCCCCCCACCCCTCCCCCCGGGGTGTGGAAGCATTCACACGTGGTTGTGAAGCCCTTGGTTACATCCGCATGAGAGAGACTGCCTGGTGAGCAGAGGTGAGAGCAGCCAGGTTTGTGTACTGACCAGCTCAGAGAAAGGAAGAAATGGAATTTTTTTTGTTGCTTTGAGGAAGTGTATTTTTATTTTATTTTGCCAGAAGTGATAAGGCATACAGAAACAGTAAGTGATACTAAGTGCAATATTTGATTTGATTCTAATGGATTATGCAAACTCTGACCCTCATAAGGTAAGGAAAATGAAGAAAGAAAAAATCTGTTCCTGCAGTGGACTGTGGACCCTTACCTGTGATTATAATATTGTAATCTCAGAGGCATGTAAACCTTTGGTTCCCAAAGTATGCAGTGTGTCTGCTTCACCTGGCAACTTGTTAGAAATGCAGATTTCTAAGCTCCAACTGGTCTTGCTGAACAGTAATTCTGGGACCAGGGGCTCAGCAGTCTGGACTCTCAGAAGCCTAGGATATTAGACACCCACCGACTTTTTTCAGCACTGATGTCAGTTGCTTCCAGAGGGATGAACACCTGCATTCTAACTAGCCCTTCAGATGGTTTTTATGGGTTTGCTTGTTGGTTTCCTTTTGTAAGACCTAAGTCTCTCTTCCACTCCATGGAGCATGAACAGCCGAAAAGGCCTCCACGATGCTGGGTCCTAAAACCCAGCGAGGCTCTGGGAGCTAGAAACCCAGGAAGGAACACACCAGGCTAGATGATAAACAGACCTTTATTAGTCTGGCCAGACGGCACTCTCAGAACCAAGTAGCTCAGAGAGGCAACTGCTCAGGGGCTGAGGTCCTTTTATAGGGTTTTTCTAAACAAAAAAGTTCAAACATAGGTCAGGGCATTCACAGAACTACCAGAGGACAAGATTCCAAACACACTGCTTATCTTATGCAGGAAATGTTTATGGTCACCTTCTGTCAGACCATTTGACCCTGAGCAGGCTGTTAACCAGGTTAGTAATTAGCCTATGAAGAAGGCAGTCTCTGGCCTATTAGCGTGGAGTCACTTTAGGTCTTACACTGTGGCTCCTATAACTGTTACCTCAAACTGAGCACCTTCACACAACACAAATGTATTCTCATGATTCTGGAGGCCTGAAGTCTACAATGGGTATCGAGGTGTCAGTTGGGCTGGTTCCTCTTAGAGCAACCATTGTCCCTCCTTTCCGGCCTCTGGAGACACTGGCACACCTTGTCTTGCAGTCCCTTTTCTTCCCCTCTCTTTCTATGATCATCACCTTCTCCTTCATTGGCCTCCCTTTTTTTTTTGGTACTGGGTTAGGGTTAGGATTGATGGTGGGACCTTGCATTTTTCAGGCAGGTGGCAACACCACTGAGCTAAATCCCAAACCCTGGCCTCCCTTTTGTAGTCACAGGTAATGCAAGATAATTTCCTTGGTCTCATGGTCCTTAAGCGAATCATGAAAAGTCCACATAGAAGTTCTGGGAATCAGAATGTAAATAAGATCTATTTTGGGGACTGTAATAGTTTGGAAACTGAATGTCCCCCAAAAGCCCATGTGCCCTTCGATCACCAGCTGAAGCACTTCGGGAGGTGGTGGAGCTTTCAGTAGGACCTAGTGAAAGGAATTAGGTCATTAGGGATATTGGGACCTGGCCACTTCGTGTCTCTATTTCTGTTTTCCGGCTGCTGTGAGGTGAACAGCTTTGTTCTGCCACCACAAAGCTCCCCACCATGAAGTTCTGCCTTACCACAGCCTCAAAGCAACAGATCCTAGTGACTGGACTGAAACTGTAAGCCAAAATAAACTTCCTCCTTTATTTTCTCAGGTGTTTTGTCATAGCAACAGAAAGCTGATGAACAGAGGGGCCATGAAACAGCTTACTACACTTAGCCCAGATTTCAGAAATTTGTGATTTAGGAGCAATCTGAAGAAGTTCAAATAAAATAAATTATGCCTTTCCCATTCATCAAAATCTTAGCAGTCTGGGATCTGGAAATATAGTGAGCTTTGAGGAAAATTGGCCATTTCACGAGTGAAGTGGTATCCAAAGGATGTCTACCTTTGACTATGTCAAAGCTATGGATGGTCGATCCCCTGGAGCGATCTAGACTTCTAAAATATAGTGTCACTGTATTCTCTTACTGGGACTACTCTAACAAGTAGCCTTGGTAACATGAACAGCAGGAACTTTCTGTCTCACACTGCTGGTAGCTAGAAGTCCACGATTAAGGTGTCATCAGGGTTGGTTGCTTCTGTGGTCTTCCTCCTTGGCTTGAAGATGGCCATGTTCTCCATGTGTCTTTAGTAAAGAGGGCACAGCTGAGTCCGTAATCATTTCCTACAAAGGAGTCTTGGCAGAAAGGGGTTGTCCTGTCAGAGATGAAGCCACCAGCTGTCCTTTTGGTCCACATTGAAGGTTTAGAACGGGCCTCACAGACTGACACGTTTAGCCCCTGTCTCCCCATAGAGCTGGCTTCCAGGATTTCACAGTCTTAGGAAATTTCAGAGCCAGGCTGGCCCAATAATGAAGCTGTGTTCACTGCACTTGCCAGACTTGGCAGCCGAAGCCAAAGCTTGGCTCTGGCTATTTGGTCATCATGAGTCTGCTGCACAGAAACAGCCCATTTCCCCAGCACAAATGCATCGCAGATGCTCTGGGTTATGGTGTTTTGAGAATGCCATTAGAGAGCACTAAGGTCTCAAAGTCATGGTTCCTAAGACCAAGAAGGGTAGGTAAAGTGTTGAAGGGCCAGGGACAAGGGAAACTAGGCACAGGGTAGGGGTTAAAATGCACCCTTTTGACCTTGCTAGAAGCCACCATTCTGGCCAGGTAAGCCACCGTTTGAGTAAGATGCTTTTGTGGTCTCAGATGAAGTCAAACATGGACTTCCTTTTTTTTGAGATTAGCCCAATGGTCTGTCCATGAAGTGTGGGAAGAACCAGCTGTTAAAACCTAACAGTGACTTCAGGTGACGAGCAATCCCTATTTAAAAACTCTCTGTTATATAATGAACTACTGGGTGTGCAGAATCAGTCCAAACATTTGATTGCAGGTTTTGAAGCCATTTCATAAGCATTCTGCAATGAATTACAGGGACTGAGGATGGGTGCCAGCAAGGTCTTGTCTTTGTTTCCTGATTAACACAGAAACAATAATACTTCTAATAGAGTGATGTCGTGAAGAATTCCAGGGGATATTAGGAGATGGTATCTCATAATAGTTGAGCAAGAAAGAGCCCAGACTCCTTCCCTGACTTTGCTCTTTAGGATTTGCTCTTAGACCAATTTCTTAATTTGTGTGCTTCTCTTTCTTCATTTGTAAAGTGGATATAATACCATAGTTCTTGTCTTCTAAGGTGTGCCCGTGATGATCAAATGAAATAAGGCTTCTGTAGCACTTCACATGCTAACTGTGACATGTAAGCGCTCATACAGTCACTTTACTGCCAATGCCAGTACTGAGTTGATTGCTGAATTTAGAGGCTCAACAAGATGTGGACAGAACTGGCCTGTCAGTACTTAGGTGCTTCATCGTAACTGTACTCTGCTGTCCAGCCAGCAGGTGGCGACATTGACCATATCATGGCTCTGCTGGTCTCCATCCCGGAAGACCAGTTCCCTGGTGTGGCAGGACATTTCTGCTATTAGTCTTGTTGCTGTATCCCGTGCAAGATGTGGGTTTCCATTAGGACAGCCAGTCAGATGGCTGGGTGGGCTTGCTTGTAGATGATTCCAAGGTCAGAGACTCCATCCTAGACTTGCTCTCAGGTCAAGTACTTATCACATGTTTCTTGCTGAGGGCTCAAACACCCACTACCTAACACAGGTCCCTGTACAGCTCAGGTGCATAGACTGAAGCTTGGGGCTTCTGTGGTGAGCACAGGGCGCTGGATTTCAACAGGATACCTGTTGACATCTAATTACTGCTTTCATGCCAGGCTAGTTTGTATAAACAGGTGGGCGCTTCCACAACAAAACTGGATTTGTTTTGCATATACAAACGTGAGGTTCCACAGTTCAGTCCAGAGTCTGAGAAGCTGTGGCCCAGAAACAATCAACTCAAAGTGGTCTTAAGTAAAAATGCCAGTGTTTCCCTGAGTAGCTGAATCCTTGAAGAGTAAACTGAGAGTCATTTCAGAGTCGACGGTTTACTTCTGGGGCCAGGATAAAGACATTGGCAGGACAGATTATAGCCTTGCCATGATCTGCAGAGATAGATACATGACATGGTGGATAAAATAGAGAAGCCAAGCCAGAGAAGGGGCTAGGGTTGCATAAAAAAGTTCTTTAAAAAAATTGTTTTTTCTGTTCAACTAGGTGATTAAATGTATTAACTAGGCCCGGGGATTTAGCTCAGTGGTTCTGCCACCTGCCTCACAAGCTCAAGGTCCCAAGTTCAATCCCTGGTACCCCCCCCCAAATTAAATGTATTAACTAAAGTGAGTACTACTGTTGATTTGAAAACTATAATATTGGTTAATCTTCAATTATAGTTTGGTTGACGAAAATATGTAACCTGTGGGCTGGGTGTGGTAGAGTAACCCTGCAGTGCATCGAGCCCACCAGGAGACTGAGGTAGGAAAATCACAATTTCAAGCCCAGCATGGAATTTAGTGACTTACCAAGACCCTGTTTCAAAGTTAAAAAAATACAAATGGCTGCGGTTGTATGTCAGTGCGAAGGCCCTGAGTTCAGTCCCCTATTTCACCAAAGGAAAAAAAGGTGACCTGTGGTTTCAATAATATATCACAAGATGGCGCCCAAACTAGCTTAGTCACTGAAGGCCAGCGTCACGGTAAACCAGCAGAAAATGCTTTCGTAAAAGCTCAGTTCCCCAATTTTCTTGATTTGTTGGTTTCTTTCCAGAAAACAAGGACCAGGGAGAGAACCTTTTTCCTATATGTTGAAATAAATCAATTTGTGTAAATCGACCTGAAAATTGTTTTGAAGTTATTTTGTCTAGTTCTTAACCCTTCAATTTTTGCTCAAGAAGCTTTGTTTTATGTAATTGAAGTTTTACTCAGGTGACAATAGATTTAAACTTTTTCAGTGAAAAACATGCTTAGGTCACTTTTCATGAATTTTCTAGTAAAATGTGTCTTTAGCCTGTCAATCATTATTTAAATATTTTACCCTTTAGGAGGTCAGTCTAGGGAAATTTTCTAAAGACTTTAGGTACTTAAATTTTAGTTTTAACAGTTTAGTTAATATTTCTCTTTGTAATTGTTCTTAATTATGTTTTTTAGTCATCAACTTAGATTAACTCTTAGTAGAATGAGGTGTTTTTACTTTGTCTATGTGCTTACTGTATAAAAATATGAGTGATAGACATGAATGACAGTTTGGTTTTATAAACACATTTGATGCTAACTTTTCATATAATTTCACTGAGGTCTCTTCTGTCTATTCTTTTTCAGCTCTATGAGTCTAGTAACATAGCAGAGAAAGTTTCTCATTGTTTAAATAAAATGCTGGTGAGAGGATATCATTATCAAATGAGATACCTAAAATTTTATATCCTAGCAGGTTTTTTAAACATTCTTTTCTCCATTTTCCAGTTAGCACAGAAAATAACAGTGGTCAGAAAGAATTTTCAACAACCACATTTGCCTACTTTTAAATTTGATTTTCTAACCTAAAAGTTTCATTTTGTGCTGATTTGTAATTCAGTCAGAAATAAATGCCCAAAAAGTTGTCTAAATTTTGGTTATTTCTGCAATATAGGAGAACTTCAATTTTGGTTTAATAAAAAGCCTTCAAATATTTACCTTTGGCGGGGGGTCCGAGGATCAAACTCAGGTCCTTGTGCTTGCAAGGCAGGCGGTGGAACCACTGAGCCAAATCCCCTGCCCTGTCTTTTTATTTTTTTAGTAATTTTCAGATTTTTTTTTTTTTTAATTTAAGTAGAGCTTAACAAGAATGGAGCAGAGTTTATAGATATAAGTAAATGTGGTTGAAATAACTACAGTATTGTTTCTAATGAAAAATTGCCCATAGGATATGCTCTTTTTTTTTCTCCCTTAGATTGGAATAATTGGTGGAACAGGCCTGGATGATCCAGAGATTTTAGAAGGAAGGACTGAAAAATATGTGGATACTCCATTTGGCGAGGTTAGTATCCAGTTAGTGGAGACTTGTGGGCTTTTCCATCTTTTTTTTTTTTTTTTTTTTTTTTTTTTTTTTTTTTTTTTTTTTTT